CCCCCCCCCCCCATGTGCTCTCTAAAAAATAACAGAACATTTAAAGGAAGATCCATGGAGCATCACCAGTCAGCTAAACCAGACAGTTTGGGTCTGAACTTGTTCTGGAATGTGTTATCCTAACAAAGACCTGGGGGGTGGAAGAGTACCTGATACACGAGCTGGGCACTGAACAGAGAAGCCTGGAACAGCCAGGCCTACCCTGTGGCGCCCAGCACAGCCGAGAGCCATCTATCAGCATTGGCCAGAAGGGGCTGGAGTCCTTCTGCCCAATCCCAAGGTTTCAAGTGGCTTCCAAAATGATACCGACATTTATCAGCATAAATTCAGCCATTATATCGACTAGCACAGTTATTTAAATACTAAAAAAGTTAACAAAAACACACAACTCCTGGATCTTGTCTGGACAGTTATTCCAATATTTAAATTAATGAAAGTCCTTTTACTCAAGCAAATCACTTCCTGAACCCCTAAAGGAACCCCCAGTGAGAAACAGGGTCCTTAGCACGCTAACATGTTTGTGGGAAATACCGCCACAAGGGCACACTTTTGCAACCTTGATCAGAAAAATTCGGAAGACACTGGTCAAACCGGATGACAAGTGTCTGACACTGAAACTGTGGCCCAGACCCAAGCGAACAATCACAAAGAACTATCAGCGGTGGGATCTCTGTTCTCAGCCATGGCATTTGAGTGAGGACTTAGAAATTCCTACGTTATCATGATAGATTTTCATTATCCACCTTGTTCTAGAACGGTGTTCTGTGAGGGCTGAGATGTGAAAGTGAACAACTCAGAGTACATTCACCATTCAGCACCCCCAGACACGCAGGTACCTGGTTTCCTCCCCTCACCTACTGGTGTCCTGGAACCTGTAGTGGCCTAAGCCTGGAACAGAAGTGTGGGCCTGTTGTGACCAAGTCCACCCCAGACTGAACTCATTGGGCCTGCTCCCTGAGAGCCCATCGTTTGGCCTGACAGACCATGAGGGAGTCTGAGCCATTCTGAGCCACTATCTGAAGGACTAAAGCACCCATGCTTCCAAATGATGGTGCCCGACTGCTGACCTCTCTGACTGTGGTCCCGACACAGAAATGCGGAGGGAGGGACATCAGAACAGAGAATAGCAGCTGTGACCACAGTGGGCATGGACAGACCAGTGTGGTTCCTGCTGTTATAGGGACAAGGACTCTGAGATGGTTTTATCTAGGACCATTGAGAGGGAGGGAAGGGACTCCTAAAATCCTATCAGCCTCTGTCTCTTCAAACTCAGTGAAGACCCGAGTGGGGGTGGGGCCCCTAGTCAGAGGGGAAGGGAGGCTGGGAGGTCTATGGGCTTGGGGAGTCAGCAGAGAGCCAAGGGGGAGAGCCATGTCAAGATTCTAGAATATTTCTGTTTGGCAGGCTGGCCTCTGGCGGAGGACAAGGGTGGTCACAGTCAAAGGGGCATCAACACACAGCCCCACAGACCTAGCAACACAAGACCCAACTGAGACAGTCTGGAAGCTCACCTCCAGGTACAAATCAGGAAACCCCACCCAAGGCAGCCATTACATAGGCAGACAGTTGCGCTGGGATCCCTACCCCAGACTCCTGGAGTGAGGGGACAACTCAGTATCCTGGAGAACCTTCAAACAGCCCCAGCCAACAGGGGTGTGGCAAGCCTGGAAGCAGGACTGCGGAAGAGGGCCCCCAGACCCACTCTCCCTGAAGCTGCCTGCACCGGTGCCCTCCTTTCCCACTGCCCTTCCAGACAACGAGACCCGGATGGTGGCATTAGATTAGAACACTTGAGCTGCAGACAACACAGAGCCCCTGAAGGGACTCGTACCCCTCCACCTCGGGTCGCAGGCTCCCCAGCCCAGACCGAATGGGGCTTTCACTTCCCTCCCAGATGCTTTCACCCCAGCAGGCCTGCCCAGGAGCCAAAAAGAGCCCGGCCAGCCTGACAGTCTGAAGTCTTGCATGGGGGTCCTGAGACACCCCCCCACCCCCCATCCAGGGTACAGATCCCCCCTGCCCCCTCCCCCCCCCTCCCCGTGCCTATCAGGCACCTCCTACCAAGGGAGGGGCTGGGCCAAGCCCACATATCAGACGCCAAGCAGTGTGTTATCCTTTAATTAAGAGCTGGGTCAGTGGGGCCACCGGTCTCCCCCAGGTCCCTGCAGCAAGTGCCCCTCCCCACTCGCTGCCTCTGAGGCAGGGTGGCCCTGAGGCAGCCAGCCCTGACAAGGGGTCAGTTTGTAGTGGCCTAGGAAAGGCATTCATCTCTCGGATCTAGGAACGTGGCAGCAGCAAAAGGCTGGAGGCAGCTAAACTGAGGTCAGGGATGATGGAGGAGGAAAGGACAGGAAGTGGGGCTCTCCTCCTTCCCCTCGGAATCCCGGTGGGACAAAGACCAGTGTTCAGGAACAGTACAGTTTCTCCAGGGGCTGGAGGCCCTTCCAGCCACTCTCTGGAAGCCCTGAGTCCCTGACTCCCCACAAACCGACGTCACACAGAAAAGAGCCCACAGGGTCACTGGGCTCGGGGAGCAGGCTGGGCACCACCTCATCAGCCTCACAGCCCCAGGCTTGCGAGGTAGGTCCAGCAGGGCCCAGGCCAGAGGCCCCAGGAGCCCGGGGGCCACCTTCCACTAACTCTGCTCATCAGGTACTACAGGCATCTAAGAAGGCAGCTTCTCCCTCACGGTTCCAGGGCTGTCCGGGCAGGGCTGAGGCAATGGCAGGCCAGGGCTGGCCAGTTCCCTACAGGTCCGTGACCTTGTTCTCCACAGCGGCTGCGATCTGCTGGAGCCGGTAGCCCAGCTGCATCTTCTGAGCCGTGCCATCCTCCTCCAGGGCAGTGATGATCTGCAACAGACACCGGCCGGTCAGCAGGGCCTACCAGCCACCGCATGCACCCACAGCCCTCAGCAGGCCTCCTCAGGTACTGCGGCACAACTGGGGGCCTCAGCGAGCCGTCTCACTTCCTCGGGGCCTTGCTGGGGTTTTACCTCCACCAGTAAAAATTGTTTTGAGTGGAGCCCAGCCACACCCACCATGCTAGCCTTTCCCCCCACGAAACCCCTAGAAGCCCTGTTCCAGTCCCCTGGCTCCCCCTGCCCCCACCAGGCAGCAAGCATTTCCTGTGTTCCCATTCCAGGTGCTGGCATGGAGCAGGGACCCCACAATGATGGGACACGTGTGATCCTGCCCTCACAAGGCTCACTGATGGCAGGACAGACAGATTCTGACCCAACACCAACAACCACATAAGCACAAATGAGGGCTGCCACAGGGGAGCGGTGGAGCCCAGGGGGGGCTGGCCTGTGCCATTTACACGAGGGTACATGAGGTACCACACACCCCCGCCTCCCCCATGCAGGAGCTCACACTGCCTGAGCAAGCCTGGGGTGCCTGGAATTCACGTTAAATGACTATCCCCCAGGCCGGCCACCAGGCAGGCTCCTCATCGCTGAACAGCAGCAGCCACATCGTTGGTGTCACACAAACATCCGAGAGGACGATTCTGGCAGACACTTAGCAGGCTGACTCGTAGGTGCTGTGATCTTGGGGCCCAGTCCAAGTTCCCCAGACGGCCCCCTTGCTGGCTCTGCCGTCCCCTCACCCACTCCTGGCAGGACCTTCTTCTCTGGCCGTGCACAGCAGGTTGCCACTGTGGGGACTCAGGTAGGGATGGGGACCAGGACAGGGTGGGGGCAGAGGCAGCAGCTGTGTCCTTCCCAGACCATCCCCCACACCATCTCCAGACCCTGGCAGATCCCCCGGCATCCCAGCTGCTGCCGAGGAGCCCCAGAGGAGAGGGCAAGGACAGGGAGAGCAGGGGAGATACCAGGACCCTGCCCTGACCCTGCTCTGTGCCTGGGGAAGACCACTAGTCACAGCCCTTCCCTCCCTCCATCAGGGCCCAGGGTTCTGCCCACCTGGTCATAGTACTTGTTGATATACTTGTAGAGTTCATGCAGGGCCACTCGTGCCCCAAGGTCCCCAGAGTAGTTCTAAGGAGAAGAGGTAAGAGAGACGAGCATTGTCACCAACCACAGGACCCCTGGGAAAGGGGGAGGAGGTGGCAGAAAGGACAGGCCCTGCAGCAGGAAGCCCTGCCTACAGACCAGGGATCCCAGGTCTGCGGCATGAGCAGGGCCCTGCTTCTCTCCCCTCAAGGCGGCAGCTGGGACCCCAGATGGTTGCAGAGCCCAGTGGGACAGCGGCCGCTTACGGGCTGTGACCCAGCTAGGTCTGCTCTGATCTCCATCACATCTTCCGGGAGGTTGCACGGGGCCCCTCCATGGGGCCATCTCTGAGCCCGCACCTCCTCATCAGGACAACAGGGCTAATAGCGCCCAACCTGTGGAGCTCCTATGGGGGTCAGGCGAGAGGACAATCAAATCACCACCACCAAATCGTAGCTGCTATTGTTGCGTGTTCTGTGTCCTTGTGGTCCTCCATCACTTAGTGTTCAGAAACACTAAGTTCCCTGGAGTTTATGTTTGGAGACTGTTTTAAAAGTAGGTGGGGGCACGTCTACACCGACGGAAGCAATGCTGTATGAAGACACGGGCAGACTGACCTGGGCTGTCCTGGGGCTGAATCCCAGCCACCTCACTGCTCTGGATACATCGTCCCCAGACCCAAACACGGGCTGCAGGCACCCAAGCAGCTGGCCAAGTCAGGTCAGGTGGCAGCTGCCGGGACAAGCGCCTGCTGCTCTGTAGTGAGATGTTGGGAGCCCTGGTCTTTCATAGTGGCCATTAGAACATTCTGCATTTATGGGGATGGTATGTGTCCTGCCCCCAACCAGCTCGCAGGATCGCTGAGGCCCCAAGGGCTTCCTTGCAAAACAGCAGGATCCTCACGGCAGGAGGCCTGTGCCCAACCCAAGAAGCAGAGGGAGGGCCATACCCGAGACAGCTCAGCCAGGATGGAGTTCATCTCTTGGTCACTGGCGGGGACGGTCTGCCTGATGTCTGCGTAGTACCTGCCAGAGACCACGGCCAGCTGCTGGGTAAACAAACCATTCCTCCCTCCACAGGGCCCATCCCACGGCTGCAGCCATAAACATCCATCAATCGGTCCACTCATCCCCCTTCCAGACCCTTTCCTCGCCCTCATACCTTTCCACCATCCGTTTGTAACGGGGAATATCTCGAGCATATAGAAGTTTGTTGATGGGGGAGTCCTAGGCGTCAGCAGGAGAGAAAGAGGAGAGTCCCCTTAGAGTGACCAACGGTCCCAATTTTCCCAGCACCGTTTCCGTTCTAAATATCCCAGGAACCCCTCAGTCCCAGGCAACTGGGATGGTTGGTGCCCCTGGCCCATTTCCCTCTGCAAGGACCTCCTCTGCCCACTCCCCTCCACCGATATCCAATCTCCACTCTGTCACCTCGAGCTTCTCCCCCAATTATTTCAAGGCCATTTCTCAGCTCCACATGCCTCCACCTGGATCCAGCAGGGAACCGGCATGCAGGGTGGGAGGGCACCGTGCCATATGGAGCCCTAATGCCGCTTTTCCGTGTGCTGCTCATTCCCCACATAATCGTTTCAAAAATCAGGAAACTGTGGCACCTGGGGGCTCAGTTGGTAAAGTGTCTGACTTCGGCTCGGCCGTGATCTCATGGCTCATGAATTTGAGCCCCACATCGGGCTCTGTGCTGACAGTGTGGAGCCTGCTTGGGATTCCCTCTCCCCTCTCTCTCTGCCCCTCCCCTGCTTGCACATGCACTCTCTCTCTCTCTCCAAAGAAATAAACTTAACAAATAAAATAAATAAAATATAAAAGTCAGGGAACTGACCCAGAAAATATAGTAACTTGTCCCACACCACCTCACTCTGAGTGGCCGAGCTGGCCCCTGAAGCAGGTCTCTCAGGTCAGAGCCCACATTGTAACACACCCAGACACATCTTCCACCACTGCAGTGGGTTCCAATCCCAGCTCTGAGCTCTGGACGGCACCTGCTGCCTCACCCTACGGCTGCCGGGAGGGTGAGGTAAGATGGCGCCACCCCTGTGCGGCAGCGATGCATCCCTGGGCCTGAGTCATGAGTCAGCATGCATGCCTTCTCACCAACGCTCTGCGGGGGGGACCCTAGGCATTCCTGGTTTGGACTCTTCCTGAGCTACCCAGCAAGCGTTTGCAGTTCTGCTGGGAAGGGGAGGCAAGGTGAAGGTTGGGCAAAACCCCAGCCACCACACAGCCTCCACCCGAGGTAGCCTCCCCGGTCCTCGCGGTGGGGTTCGTTGTAGGCACAGTGACGAGAACACACAGAATAGAAACTGCTCTCAAAAGACAGCACTACAGAGTAGAAGTTTGCATTCTGTTTCTTCACAAAAGTCTAGAGATCGATCCCTCAAGAGGTAACAGCTCCCTGCACAGGCCTGCAGAGCCCCAGGCCCTGCCTGCTGGGTGCCTGAGTCACTGCAGCAGGGACCCCTTATCTGTCATGGGACTCCCTTGGCTCTCACTACTGTGACAACACCCCGCCACCACCACAGCCCTGGCCACTCCTCTCTGCTTCCCAGCGCCCCTCACCAGCACCTCGCCCATGCCTGGCGCTCACTGCCTGGACTCTCCCGTCTACACTGCACCGACAGGCAGATACCTCCTCTGCCCCTGCGTGTAGGGAACGAGGAAAAGGCAGGGTGACTTCTGATCCCTGGGCCTCTGGCTATGGTGAGCCCAGACTTGGAGGAGGTGAGCCCAAGGTGATGGTGGGGCCGCTAGGTTGGTTTCCAGGTAGACATGTGGATCCTACAATCACAGGACAGCTCCAGGCTGCCCGGTGGATTTGGTTCCTGAGGGGTCATCACTGCCACCTCCCGGGGAGCTCAGGGACAAAGCCCAGCCTGGGGCTGGAGTCAGAGGCCTCCCCTAGCCTTCCTCCCCGACATTCTCAGCCAAGCCTGGAATCGGCGCACACACAACACTGTCCATACCTGGCCCATACTACCCTGCCCCATTCGTGCCCTCCGTGTCCACCCTGACCCACTCACCCGGCCCAGCTTGTGGTCGGCCAGGGTGCAGGCATCCATGAACGTCTGAGCAATGACCAAGAGCACTGCATCCATGTTATCAGATGTCTGCACGTCGAACACAAACTGCGGGTTTTTTATTATATTGATCCAGAACCTTAGCGGCAGGCTGTGGGTAGGGCAGGCAGGGCCAGTGAGCGTGCTGGGGGGGTGGGAGAGAAGACCCCACACACACCTGGCCCGCCTTGCCCCACCCCCACCCCCACCTGTTGGTCTTCCAGATATGGACGGTGTCCTGGTCGGAGATGCCATGCTGCTGGGCCTGCTCATCCAGCAGGTCGAAGAAGTACTTGATAGCAAGCGGCACGGGGCGGCTGGTGCTGAGAATCACCTGGAATAGGTCGTCCACAAACTTTTGCAGTGTGCCCTGGTGGGGAGGGGAAGCACAGAGGACATACGGTCAGCAAGGGGACAGGGGACCTCGGCCCCAGCCCGGCCTCAGACACCTCACGACACTATGCCCGTGCGAGCCCCACACCACACCCAAACCCCATAAGTAGCCGTCCCCTCCCCCACAGCCCAGACCTACGGCCTGTCCCATCCCTGACCCCAGCCTCCACTCCCTCCTGCCTCACCTTCATGGACAACAGGCGGGTCAGGTAGATCTCAGGGATGGCCTTGGCTCGCTCGCGCTCCCCGCCCCGAAGGCTGCCCCTCCGAGGCCTGGGAGGCTCCGGCTCCTCACTTGGCTTCACTAGGTGCCAGGGCCGGATGCCCCCCTCGTCCACATCCTCCAGCATTGGGGTCCCTGCGCCAAGACCCCACAGCTCGTCATCCCTCATCAGGTACCACGTCCCCTGGGACCCCAGCGTCCTGCCAACTTCCAGGAGTGGAAGCACAGGTTGAGGGCTTCTCTAGGTGGAAGGGAGGTAGACACAAGCCTACCCTCAGGTCCAGAAGATCTGCCCCAGTACTGGGGACTGGGCAAAGCAGGGGCAGAGGACAGTGATTGGGTAGGGGCTGGAAGTGGGGGGCATACTCACTCTCTCCAGGGACATAATCCTGGTTTTCCCGGAGAACGTGCTTGGTGAGGCAGGGGACCAGGGCCACAGTTGCTCCATCTGGGACCTGCTAATCACAGCTGGTGACCCCTCCACCAGCCCCATCCCACCTACCCCGCCTCCCGCTCTTACCCCTCCCACCTTGTAATGCTGCAGGGTGTTCAGGCGCCTCCACAGGCCCTGGACCTCAGAAGTCACGTCCTCGTCAGAAAGAATGAGATGCCCAGCCACCCCAGACCGCCACTCTGCAAGAGCAAGTTGGGACTTGGTCCAGGGCTTCCAGAACACCCTTCCTGCGGTGGAGCCTACCTCCTCCTCCACAGGGACACAGGCCCCACCGTCAGGGGGCAGCCTTATCCAACCCCTCCAAAGACTAGGATCAGGGGCCCCTCACCATGTGAGAGGTCGTTCCAGCCTCTGCCCTGTGCCCACTGAGCGATATGGTCCAGGGCCAGCCCAGCCTGCACCCTGGCTCAGGTCCCCAGGCAACCCTTCCCCTCCACCCTCACCAACATCCAGGGTACGGGGGTCTGGCCGCTGGGCGAGAGGTACTCCTTTATAAAGCTGGTCCAACATCTTCTCTTTGGCCTGGGAGATGGTATCGCAGTCCAGGACCTTCACGGGCACACCCTGGGCCTCTCCTGCGCCGGGCCCCACAGCCAACAGTGCATTCAAGGTCTACCGAGGTATATGCGGGAGCAATCAGGGCTCATGCCACACATGGGATGACCAACACACAAGGTCAAGGACAACCCATGAGGAAGCCACTGGCTCTGACCTCTCGGCACCAACAACTCCCTAATTCTTATCTCTTTAGCCGTCCACCCCCACTAGGGACAGCGGCTTCCTCCACTCTGACCCCACCTCCAGCACAGTGCACTAGTAAATGTCTATGGGGTGAATGGCAGAAAAAAACAAGTGAACACAAGTCCCTCTTAACTCAGGTCCCCAGGTTCCTGGCTCAACTGGTCAGGCTGAGGCACCTGAGAGAAGCTTCATAAGAAGTAAGGATTCCTACCGGCCTGAGAGGGGGCAGGTTTGGTGGAGCCTGAATGAGATTTTCCCAAAGGTACCCTGCGTGGGCCACCAAGGAAGGTATCCCGTGTGGATCACCAGGAAAGGTGCCCTGCGTGGGCCACCAAAGAAGGCACTCCACTAAGGGGATAGCAACCCGGAGGAAGAGATGGACAAGACTGACAGAGCTGGCTCCTGGCTTGGTGGGCACATCACTGGCAGGACACTGAGATGATGGTCCTGCAAACGCTCAGGCCCTGGCCCAGTCCAAGGGCTTGTGGACTGCTCCCCAAACCCTTGCTGTGACCCTATCTCACTCTGACCCCATCTCAAGCCTGAGGGCCCATCCTCAAGGCCTTCTGCCTTGAGGTCTAGTCCTCAAGCCTCTATGCTGCTAAACTAATCTAAAGGCTTCTCTCCAGCAGCCAGCCATTCACAATGATCACACATGCTTACCCTCCTCATCCTCACCAGGGACAGACACCACTGAGCGTATGCACGTTCACATTCTCTTTCCCTCCCTCCCCCTATCCCTCCCCTGACTCGGTCTCCCTATCCCTCTCCCTTCCTCCCTCCCTCACCAGGGGACGGTACTCCACGTCCTCTCTGAGAAGGCGGTTGTCATTCAGGGTGTATTTGGCTTTGCCAGTCACGCTATCCACTGGCCCCTTGTCCACTTGATGTTTAATTCCACGGAAGAGCATGTACAGCGGCTCCCCTACTGAGTCCTGGGGAAGTGACAGCCAGTGAGGGCCCCCAGGGCAGGTGACAGGCATGAAACAGAGCTGTATGGGACATGGCCCATGCTGGGGAAGGGGACAGACTGCAGAGGGCCTGAGGTGAATGAGACATGCTGGGCAGGAGTGTCTGGACTGAACGGGGCTGGAAGCTGTGTGGTTTAGAGTCCCGCCTCGCCCCGGAGGGGAGCCCAAGCCCTGTCCACGTCTGCCTCTCTCACCCTCACGAAGGTGTACAGGCAGATGGACATCCAGTTGGTGAGCAACTTCTCCACCACGGTCTCTGTCCTAGGATGACAGGAAAGGGGAGGGGCAGGGTCAGAGGTAGGGCCTCTGGGCTCCCTGTTCTGTGAACCCCTAAACCCCAGAGGGTCTGACGCAGCCCTTGGCTCCAGCCCTCATAACCACAAGGCCCCCATGGCTTCTGACAGCCACACAGACCTGCGCAGCATCAGCTTGGGGTTCTTGGCCACGTACTGGGCCACCAGGTCACTGAGCAGGGTTCGGAGGATGTCGGTGAAGTACTCGAGTTTCCCGTGCAGCGCCACCGTGAGCAGAGATGCCACGTAGGCGCGGTCCCGAGCTGAGAAGGTGCGCTGGCTCTCCAGGGTGTGGATGAACTGGCGCCAGGGAGGTGGGATAAGGAGGAAGGGGCCCATTCAGAAAAGGAGGGACAAAGAAGGGGCGGGGCTGGGGCAGGAGGGGTGGGGCCAGGAGGGGACAGATGTGGGGAGGCCTGGGGTGGGGCCGTGCGTGGCACCTTGGTGAGGAAGAGCTTGCTGTTGAGCAGGTTGGAGAGCTGCCCCAGCCCTTGTTCCACGGTGGGTCGCCTGCTCTCCGGTACACCCAGGTCCCGGTGCAAGGGCGACTCCTGGTGCCCAGGGAAGAAGACCCTCTCAGCATACACCTTATAGTCGAGGAAGGGGATGCCACTGCCCAGAAGGTCACTGGTGAGATCAGTCATCTCAGTCATGAGGTCTGTTGGGCAGAAGAGGCCAGGTTTGGGCGTGGATCCCACCCGACGGGAGCAGACTTTCACAGGGCCCTGAAACATGTTCCGGGCCTACTCTCTGCAGCCTCACCCGTGAACTCCTTCTTGCAGCGGTCCCGCACGCTGCTCTCCAGATTCTCCAGCTGGATCTGGACCTTCTTATAGTCCCTCAGGGCCTGCTTGCTCTTCCTCCTGCTCAGCACCAAGGTCAGGAAGGGGAAGGCCAGACAAGGCCAGAGCCCTTGCTGGTGCCTATGGCCCAGGCCTGTCTACCCCAGCCTCACCCTGGCTTAGGCCGCCACAGTCCGACCCAGCCATGCCCAGCCAAGCCAAGGCCTAGCCCAGAATAATTTGGCCTGTCGCATCCTGGGCAAGTCACACCCCACATCCAGTCTAGCCCAGGAGTTTAGCCCAGGGATCAACAAACTACAAGCGGGCCAAATCTGGCCCACGACCTATTTCTGTAAATAAAGATTTGTTGGCACACGGCCACAATCATGTGTTTGCATATGGTCCGTGGCAGCTTCTGCTCTGCAACAGTGGAGTTGAGCCCCTGCAACTGAGGCCACCCGGCCACAAAGCCTAAAATAGGTACTCTGGCCCTTTATAGGAAAATTTTGTTGACCCCTGGCCTAGTCTGCCCTTCCCATCCAGCCGCACCCCCCTACCTGCCCCAGCCCAGCCACATCCGGCTGCACCCACCTGTATATGAGGACAATGATGATGACGCCCAGAGCCAGAAGAGAGGTGCCCACCCCCAAGCCCACCTGGGCTGCCATGGGAAAAGCCACGGGGCTCTCGCCATCGTACTGCACGTGGCCCAGGGAGAAGCGCAGGTTCCCCATCTGCACCTATGTGGGGAGCCACCTGTGAGCAAGGTTTCAGCACAGGCCTGATGCCCGGCCCAACCCAGTGCCCACTCACTGACCGTGAACTCAGGCAAAGCATCGGGCGCCTCCCGGAGGGCGTGGTGCTGGGGCAGAGGCTGCTCCAGGGGGGGCTCGCAGTACAGGTGGTGACGGGTCAGTGTCTTCACCACGCAGGGGCCGTCCCCTATCATGGCCACCACCTCCTCCTTGGACATTGCAAGGTCCAGATTCTCCCCCTGGAACACGAGGGGTCACTCAGATCCCATCCCCTCAAGTGTGGGAAGGATGGTCCTGACACCCACCCCCGGGAGCAGGGCTGATGCCGGGTCAGCACCTCTTCCCCTGTATCGGAGGAGATAGTCCATGGCTATCCTCTGAGCTGCCCCCCGACCCTTCTCTACCCTTCCCATACTTCTTCCTCACATCTTCACTTTTCCAGAGCTCAAAATCTGGACAACATAAAGTTGCCCCCGAATCCTGCCCAGTCACCTAACAAAGCCAGAGCCACTACTGTGTCTGCTGGCCCACCAGGCGGACGATGCTGGGTTGTCTACCTGTGGCCTTTTAGAATGCCCACCTACCGCACGTGTCAGAACCCATGCCAAGTGTTTGTTCACGTTGAGTCAGGCTGCCAAATGGGCATCAGCCCAGGCGCCTACTGTGTACCACGCCACCCAGCTACTGCGTGTGCCAGACCATTTACATACTGTCATTCAGACTCCTGCCGTAGAGTGTGTGGGGCCCCAGGCTCCAGCCAGATGCGTCAGGCGAGGCAGCCCATCACCAGCCCCTCAGCCCTCACATGTGAAGGGTGAGGAGCCAGGTCTGTCCGCTGGCCCTTGTTCTGCCTTCATGCCCCCTCTGCCACACACAGCCACAATGACCAGCAAAGTGAAGGGTCGTGAGCCCCCCGCCCCTGTGTGTGAGCGGGAACAGTACCTCCACAGAGAGCACACTCCCAGGCTTGTGCCGGAATGGTGCGGTGGGGTCCTCGGGGTTGAGGGGCTGCAGAGTGGGGTCGGCCTCATAGGAGAAGGGTGTGGGGTTCAGTGTCGCGAAGTCAAAGACCAGGTTGTCAAGGATGAATTCCACCCGGACCCAGGGGTCCTCAGGCAGGCCTGGGAGGGCAGGCGTGTGGCACGTGATGAGCTGAGAGGAGTTCACATGGCACGGCTCCTCAAACTGGGCCACAGGGAGGAAAGACAGGGGAGGAGAGTTGAGGGCCATCCTCAGGAAGGGGGCCCAGCAAAGACAGGGCAATAGCCTCTTTGGTATCCGCCACCCACGGCTGTGCACGGGGTGGTGTGTGGAGTGATGAGGGTGATGGCTACTCTAGTGCAAGCAGGGGACGCCCGTGGGTGTCCTACATGATGGCCACCACAGGAAGCTCCAGGGGAGCACGCTGTTTCTGGGATCACGCGGCGTCTCCGCCCAAGCCCCTGGCCGGGCTGCAGTGCTCTCGGAGCCACAGTCACTCGGATTCTTGGTGTCTGTACCACATCCAAATTCTGGCCACGGACCCATATCTTCCGTCCTCCACTGCAACATAGACCATGAACCACCCATGGCTTATGAGAACTGGGGCCAGCCCGGCCCAAAGCCCCTCGGCCCTCTCCCCAGCAGCAGCACGGAAGTCACGGCCTCCACAGAAAGCCCCACAACCTCCCCACATAGTAGAGCTGCAAAGACCTCCCTGCCGCATGCCATGAGGCCATGCCCTTGGCCCAGCACCTGAGGAAGCTCTTGGTGGGGCTGGCAGAGGTGACGTTGGGGTCTGATGTGTACTCAAACTGGCTGTGTTGAAGCCTCCGCTCAGCGGCCCCAAACCACACAGCCACAGGGAGCGTGGCAGGCGTGGGGTGGGGGCTGGTCTCACACTGCAGCTGCTCCGCCTGCTGCTCCAGCAGCCTGGGGAAGGGAGGGATGAGTGGAAGGCAGGCCAGGAAGGGGACAGGGATGATTTCCAGGACATGGGACCCCCTCAGGCCCAAGCTCACTTCCCTTCAGAGCTGACTGCAAGCTCCACACGTGACCCTGGAGGCCACAGTCCCCCGACAGCCCCAGCTGAGGGAGGGTCTGGCCGCTTTCTGATGGAGCAGACCTGGCCCTCTCCCCCTTTCTGCTCTCCCAGCATCCCACCCCTCTGTCTTCTCCCTACAGCACACAGATTTTTTGCAGAATGAGGAAGCAGCCCTCACAGGTGGCAAGGCTGGTCTCCAACTACTACTCGGATGTCCTCCAGCTGCCCAGTCAGGAGCTTGGAGCCGTGCAGGGTAAGGCGGGTACCCCCCGCTCTGGGGCCTCGGGTTGGGAAGACGGAATGCACCTTCGGGTCCTGTGGGAAGGGCGATAGGGAAACATAGGCAGACATGAGGCCACAAACAGAGAAGCAGGGGGAGTCTGAGGAAGACAAGAAGGCCCCGGGTGAGAAGCCCCAGGAAGGCGAAACCAGACGGGCTGGCGGGGGAGCCACTTTACCTGGTAGGCAAAGTCGTGCTCTGAGACACCGTGTCCTCTTCCCGGCACCTCCACCGTCACAGCGCCAGCCACCTCCTCCCCACTGGCCTCAGTGATACACACGAAGCTGTGGGCACAAGGCAGGCTGGGGTGCCGGGCCGCACCGAGGGCCCCTCAAACTGAGCTGGCTGCCCCACTAAATGAGGTGTTCTCCCTGCTCCCAAGATTGACAGAGATCCTCTTGCTCTGGGGGGAATTCCTGATGGCACACCAGGGGGCTTTGGCATCGAGAGTTAATACGCATGGTTTCAATCATTCAAGTCCAACCCTAGGGCCCCCTGCCGAGAGGAATTCACCTCTCTGCGAGGCACAAATTTACAAGGAGCCCTCTGAGGCTGGCTATAGGGACGAGCACCAAACTGATGAGTGGCCTAACTAGCTGCCATCACCACGCACACCACACCACACCACTTGCAAAGTGGTGGAAACTTGATTTCCTCGTGAAAAAAAAAAAAGTCCCTGGAAGCTTCTAATCAGGTCTGGGGATAGATGGAAAGGGAAAGTGAGCAATCTAAGAAAATGTTGGTTCTCAGCCAGAAAACAGAGAAGCTTGGGACAAATTAATGTCCCCATGGTGAAGCTGGCAGTGGCTCGACTCCGTGACATTGTAACAGTCACCGCCAACACTTTGGAAAACAGAACAAGTGATATGTAAAGTACCCAGGAGAGACCTTGGCCAGAGAATATTTTAATCTCTTTATAAATCACTTCATAAGTTACTCTAGTCTCATGGTTCTAGAATCATTAACAGTCTAGACAGTCACCGAAAGTTCTTGGTCATAACACACAGGGGGAATACCACACGCTCTAGCAAAGTCTGGTTTAAAATACAGATCACGGGGCGCCTGGGTGGCGCAGTCGGTTAAGCGTCCGACTTCAGCCAGGTCACGATCTCGCAGTCCGGGAGTTCGAGCCCCGCGTCAGGCTCTGGGCTGATGGCTCAGAGCCTGGAGCCTGTTTCTGATTCTGTGTCTCCCTCTCTCTCTGCCCCTCCCCCGTTCATGCTCTGTCTCTCTCTGTCCCAAAAATAAATAAACATTGAAAAAAAAATTTTTTTTAATAAAATACAGATCACGGAGCCCCAGCACAGGCCTACAGAATCCAGATCTCTGAGGGTAGGCTTGAAGGACCCATTCTATGGTGGCTTTGGACAGGCTCTCCAGGTAACCCTGATATCAGCCGGGTCTGGGATTTGCTGATTGTGGATATCTCCTCGGAAATGTCCTGGATGGGCACTGTTGGACCCTGCTACTGCCAGCCAGACTACCATGACCCAGAACCTTTATCAGCTACAGTCCCTGGGAAGGCAACCAGGGTCCCAGGGACTAGGCAAGGAGTCTGGCACTCAGCAGACGGGCCACAAGTCTGTGCCCGGAAAAGCCCTCCAGGGGCAGTGCTTGGGGAAGAAAGGACAGCTCGTGGAAACCCAGCCCCTGAGCACAACCATCTGGGATCTGAGAACCTTGCTGCCACAACTACAACCATGCTCACTCAGAACACCAAGTGAGAACATGTAGATGGGGCCACCTGTTGGTTCTAGGCAATGATTGGGCCCAGGCCCAGCAATGATCCCCAGCAGTCCAGGCCAGGAACATGCAAGTCCGTGCACAAAGCCGAAGTGGGTGCTCCAGGGCCTCAAGTGGCAACCTTAGCTCTGAGACATTGTGACCAGAAACAAGCAAAGGGGGAGAGGAAAAGGCAGAGGAGTAGTAGATGGGCAGCCATGAGCAGGAAAGCCAACCGGGGAGCCCATGAAGGGTGCCGAACTCCTGTCAGTCCAGCCAACTCACCTACTGGAGACCTCGTACTCCTGAGCATCCACAGCACAGGGTACTCCAGCCACCCTGACTGTGTCCTGTACGTCCTGCACATGTTGACCCAGGTTGGAGCCCCTGATGGTAACACGGGTGCCTCCGTCTACAGGCCCAGTCAGCGGCTCCACCTGTTCCAAGACACGGATTGCTCACTTCCACCACCAGTCAACCCTCGGCAGCCTGGAAAGGCAGTCCCAGACTCCCACCTTCGGGACCCCTGGGCCCACAGCACCCCACTCTCCCTCTAAAGGCAGCGGTGGGGGCGCCTGGGTGGCTCAGTTGGTTAAGCGGCCGACTTTGGCCCAGGTCATGATCTCGTGGTCTGTGAGTTCGAGCCCC